CAATAATTAATATGAATATTCTCCATTATGTATTAATACTAATAACCGGTATAGTATCTTTTTATTCCATTACATTTTATAAGAAGCCTCTGTGACTGGTAATGACATACGCTGTGTTCTCTCGTATCTTACACCTAGTGTGTATCATTTGCCTCTTTGAGTTAACCTTACTTTTAAGGTTTCTGGCTAATGGCTTTCATTTATTATGTGACAAATGTAGGTACAATGTGTGTGGCGTTCCTTTCAAACGTTCCCGAGGAGCGGAATGTTAGAATCCTTCCTTTTTTCTTTGTCACTTTAGTTAGTTATCTCAACTGAGTAGTTCTCCTCGGTACAGGTGAACTCAGACCTCTGTGGGTCCCGTTCTCACGTCCGCATCAATCCATCGTTCACTTTGCTATGCTCCTGTATATTTAGATACCCATTCAAAATTTACTGACGATCTTAACTGATCATTTCTCATTATTACTTAATTTGCCGACGATACAAGAATCGGTAGGGGGAAATAACCCCGGAAAAAAGACTCACTATCACTTCAAGACGCTCTAAATAGGGGTTTGAAATAGTCAAAAGATTGGCAGATGCAGTTTAAGTATCTTACTATTTCCTTTATTACACCTTACCTTCCCTACCTTTGCCTTAGCTTTCTTCCTCTAAGATTTTCTTCTCCTCATCTCTCTTCTGCCTATTTATTGCATTCTCCTTCAATCATCTTACGACTATTCATGCACCTGCCACCTCTTACATAAGAACAAGGTAACTGCAGAAGGCCTATTGGCCCATACGAGGCAGCTCCTATCTATAACCACCCAATCCCACTCATAAACATGTCCAACCCACGCTTGAATCAATCGAGGGACCCCACCACCACGTTACGCGGTAATTTGTTCCACAAATCAACAACCCTGTTACCAAACCAGTATTTACACAACCAACCACAGCCCGGTTGGTCCGGCACTCGAAGAAAACTATCTAGTCTAAAACTAAGACGTCCGTGGTTATTCCGGCAATATTTCTTATGCTCGCTGGGAGGATGTTGAACAACTTGGTGGAGGTGAAGTCCCTCGATTGTTTCAAACGGGGTTGGACATGTATATGAGTGGGGATTGGGTGGTTATACATAGGAGCTGCCTCGTATGGGCCAATTGGCCTTCTGCAGTTACATTTGTTCCTGTTTTTATTATCTTTCCCAACCATGCTGTTGCCCCTGTTGTGACAGTATTGGGGAAGCTACCATTATTATAGCATGGTAGGTTTAAATGTGATTACTCTGTTTACTCTCTGTTACAATTCTTTAAAGCAACCACCCCTTGCAACCATCATTCTAAACAAGCAATTCCTTGGTGGAATAACATATTAACATTAGATGCATTCTGAAGGCCTTTACTGGCTTTAAAGAAAACGGTGTCGTAACTTGCTATGGTAAAAGATGGTAATCGTTGGTCTCTACCGTAATGTTTGACACCCATGCCATCTGTGTGCGTGTGTGTTGAAGACATTCGTAAAATTACGGTCAAATACATCTTGAACAAAGCTCGTCTTAATTATAAACGGTCTCTCTCATCAAGTGAAGATCCAACATCCGTAGCCTATGCAGTAAAACATGCAGTTGTCTTGCCTAACGTACGAACTCAAACAACCCACCGGACCTATCCTGGCTAGTGCATAGACAACGTCGATATTATTTTATAATAATAAAAGGCCGACAGGCCTTTTTATTAAGGCCTGTCGGCCGTCTATCATCAAAGGAGGACGTAATGTATGGGGGGTTTGATAGGGCTGGTAAGAGCCCGACTTGGGTTAGAAGACACATAAAATGCTTTTTTTTTTCTTGCATTTCTACAAACCTGTCGGATTTTTAACGGATTGGCCCATTCAGAAAAAAGCGAGGTATTAGACGAGATTACGGGTTGAATGATGTTGAGAATGCTTTGAGGTTTCTCTACCATGAGTACTGCTAGCCTCCTCGAGCTCTGCCATACACTCGACCACCTGTCACCCTCATCCCTCCCTCCCTCACTAGCATCTTCACCCCTCCCTCACTAGCACCTTCACCCTTCCCTCACTAGCACCTTCACCCTTCCCTCACTAGCACCTTCACCCTTCCCTCACTAGCACCTTCACCCCTCCCTCACTAGCACCTTCACCCCTCCCTCACTAGCACCTTCACCCCCTCCATCACTAGCACCTTCACCCCTCCCTCACTAGTGATCACAAATAAATCAGATTTAGCACAGAGTGGAATAGATCTGCAGGAGAAAATTCTGTTAAAGTGCCAGATTTTCGTAAAGCTAATTTCAATATCCTAAGAAATTTTTTGGGGCATGTATATGGGGGCAAATATATTGGAAAGCCTTGGGGGGGGGGCGATCTTGGAGCAAGACATGAACCCAACGATGTGTGATGTAAAGGAGGATTTCGATTTGGATTCAAAATATAACTTATTTACAAATATTCTAAGCAAAGCACAGGAAAGTAGTATACCTTACAAATTGAATAGATCAAATACAAATGACCCCAAATGAATAACAAAGTATCTGAAAAACCTTATAGGTAGAAAGAGAGCTTGGTACAAAAGAATTAAGAATGGGGAAGTCAGTTTAGAACAAGAATTCGCACAACTGGTTAAATATTAAAAAAAAAAAGAGATAAGGAGAGCAAAAAGAAACTATGACGTTCGCATAGCAGGCCAAGCAAAGGCCATCTCCCCTCCTGCTTGATGGGGTTCTGGGAGTTCTTCTACTCCCCAAGCCCGACCCGAGGCCAGGCTTGACTTGTGAGAGTTTGGTCCACCAGGCTGTTGCTTGGAGCGGCCACGTGGTCCGGCACTCGAAGAGTTTTCCCTTAAAGATGCCCACGGTTGTTCCGGCAATATTTCGTATGTTCGCTGGGAGGATGTTGAACAACCGCGGACCTCTGATGTTCATAGTGTTCTCTGATTGTGCCTATGGCACCTCTGCTCCTCACTGGTTCTATTCTGCATTTTCTTCCATATCGTTCACTCCAGTACGTTGTTATTTTACTGTGTAGATTTGGGACCTGGCCCTCCAGTATTTTACACGTGTATATTATTTTATATCTCTCTCGTCTCCTTTATAGTGAGTACATTTGGAGAGCTTTGAGACGATCCCAATAATTTAGATGCTTTATCGCGTCTATGCGTGCCGTATATGTTCTCTGTATTCCCTCTATTTCAGCAATCTCTCCTGCTCTGAAGGGGGGGGGGGAGTGTGAGTAGCAGTGAGTACTGCTCGAGCAGTACTCACAGGGGGGAAGTGATGAGCAGTACTCGAGACGGGACTACACAAGTGACTTGAAGAGTACAGTCATTGTGATGGGATCCCTGGATTTGAAAGTTCTCTTCTCCCTCACTATCACCTTCACCCCCTCCGTCACTATCATCTTCACCCCTCCCTCACTATCACCTTCACCCCCTCTCTCACTATCACCTTCACCCCCTCTCTCACTATCACCTTCACCCCCTCCCTCACTAGCACCTTCACCCCCTCCCTCACTATCACCTTCACCCCTCCCTCACTATCACCTTCACCCCTCCCTCACTACCACCTTCACCCCTCCCTCACTATCACCTTCACCCCTCCCTCACTATCACCTTCACCCCTCCCTCACTAGCACCTTCACCCCTCCCACCATCACCCTTACCTTCCACAGTTATTCTACCATCTTTCACGATTTAGTTTTTATTAGTGACTGTATGTTCATGCTACACAGAATACCCTTCCCACACCCATCATGTGAAAGATAAGCATGATATTTCGGCTTGAAATCTTCCAAATTATTTACATCCAATAAGAGTATACTGTACAATGATCTGCAGCAGCTTTAATCATGAAACATGTTATAACTTTCCCAAGAGGTGAAGCACTTGGGAAATGAAAGTGCTTGATGGCTTGCACTTCCAATTAAGTAAATATTCATCCTCTTAATTGCTTTGATTATTACATGAAATGTAAGTGTAGCAGCCAAGTCAGTACTTACCACTTAATTTTATACTGTGCAGGATGCACATATGTCTAACACTCCCACTTGATCTGACATCCACTTGTATATATAAATTGAGTGTGATACTTTTCCTTGCCAAATTCGTGGAACAAATAGCCATGCTACATGCATGCTCTTTTATCAGTCATTATGGCTCAAAATGCAAAATATGTGGCAGAGAAAGATCACAGCATCAACAAAATACTGTATCTTGGCAAGCACCATGAACTGAAGGTGCTCATTGACTGAGAGAATAAAGTATGCCATGTTAGCTGTCATTTGCTGAGAGCATACAACATGCCATGTTAGCTCTCAGTTCCAGAGAGCATACAGTTTACCATGTTAATTCTCAATGGCTGAGAGTGCTCATTAATGTTCAGTCTATTGACTGAGCAACCTTACTCCAAAAAAATTATACAGCTAATTATACTCTACAGTACTGTAATGAATATTCATTTTTTTTTTTTTTTTTTTTTTTTTTTTTTTTTTTTTTTTTTTTTTTTTTTTTTTTTTTTTTTTGCAATACTGTCCCCTCTTTTCAGAGAATAAATAGCACTAATGAATCTGTGCTGTGCAGGGCAGTATTAAACAAGGTTGGGCCAGCATTGGATTCAGGGTTAAATGAATTAACTGCATATGCAGTTACTTATGAGAGAAAGTGCTTGCTGTATGTATGTACAGTGTCTATGTGCTTATCTATGTGCTTTAAAATTTCTGGGTGTAGGGAGAAATGTATGCAGTATATTCATTGTGGTAAGACCAATTCTTGGGACACCTCACTAGTATCTAGTGGAGGAACAATATCAAAGGGAATTTGGAGATAATTTGATAATTTGTGTTATTCAAATTATCTTATATTTTTTAACAGAATACTGTATTATTATTGTCAGCATTCCCGGACGTTAATGAATACAGTACATGGTACTTTATTTGGATATTGTATTTTTAATGTTGAATAAGTGTTACTTGAATATAACAGATATTAACATGGGTTTCAGGTGGAGCACCCCAGCCACCATGAGTGTGATTATCCGGTTGCAGAATCTGCCGTGGTCGGCCAATGCCCTTGACATTCGTGAATTCTTCAAGGGTCTCTCCATTCCCGAGGGTGGTGTACACATCGTCGGCGGAGAACTTGGCGATGCCTTCATTGCGTTTAGGTTTGTATTTACACAGAACTTACAGCAATTTAATTGCATTTGTTAAATTTGATGTTATGAAAAAGTTTGCAAATATTGTCAGTTACATATGATCAGAGAATATTAGGGAAATTTGGGATAGAAAAGACTGTGCATGTGATAGTACAATCAGTGTAATTTGGTGTACAATATATGCATCATTAGAAGTATGCCATTGATAAATAAATGTAACTATTTCTGAATAGCACGGATGAGGATGCAAGATTGGCCATGCAGAAAACAGGATCCAGCTTGAAGGGAATTCAGGTGACCCTGCTGTTGTCTTCACGAACAGAGATGCAAAAGGTTATTGAAGCTGCCCGTCAGCAGGCCATGGCACTCCAAGGATACATGGCACCCACAGTTATCCCAACACAGGCACAACCCCCTCCAGTTCCTACAGTTCCTCAGCTGCCACAGGCTCCTGCACCTACTTTGCAACACCAACAGCTTCCTGGACATCCACCATTTCAAGCACATACACAAGTTGAAGCACAACAACAAATGGCCCCCCATATTACTTCACATATTAACTCTCCTCCAAATCAACCAAACTTGCAGCAAGCACCACCTATGACAATGCCCCCCTCTACTCTCCCTCCTCGCACTCCTTCACAAAATCCATCCCATACCCCCTCCCACATTCCAAGCCCAACTACATCTAGTGGTCCCCATAATTCTCATGCTGCTAACGACTCACAAGCTGCTGTTCATTCCAATTTATCTGCAAATAACACTGAAAGAAAGGAAGAGAAAAAGTCATCATCAACTTCATCATCCAAGAGGGATACCAAAGGACGTGATAGTAGGAGACGTAGAACAAAGTCACGCAGCAGAACACGTTCAAGGTCCCGTGATAGAGATCGTCGTCGACGCCACAGAACCAGATCGAGGTCTCGCAGTCGTGATCGTAGTGGCCGTAGTCGTAGACGTACTAGAAGCCGGGAGCGTGACCGTGGCAGAGATAGAAATCGTGACCGTGACCGTGACAAGGAGCGTAATATCCGTGTTGGACGTGACCGCAGTGACAGATTTAGTCAAGAAAATAACGAGAGTGTGTCTGCTCCACTCGAACCACCTAGCAGAGATATTACCAGTAGTGGTGCAGAAGGAATACCAGGCCTGGGTGATATTCCTAGTGCCAGTATGAGAGGACCTTTACCAAGTCTCTCAGAGCCCATCAAAAACTCTCCCATCCAAACTCCATCACCTGCCCCAACCCCAGCATATAGCTCAGCACAATCATTTAATCCTGTGCCATCATACAATACAGCACCACCACCATTCAGCTCTATACTACCATTTAGTATTGGAAATATGAGTATTCCTCCTCCCTCCATACCTATGTCAAGTATGTCAAATACTTTCAATGAACCAATGGACACAGAGCCTGCGGATGACCATCCAATTATTGTAGAAGGCCCTGGAAGTTATATAGATTCCAGACAGATGCCTGGAAAGTCAGGTATTCAGAGAAATGAAGGTATGGGTGGACTCTTGAGAGGCCCTGGGGATGGGTTACCAAGATCTGACATTAAAGGTCTGTTAGGTGATGGTCCAGGTGAATTGCCTTATGGAGGCAATGGCAGGGGAATGTCTCACAGGAACAATGAGAGCTTTGGATTCCTTGGGCATTCAAGGAATCGCCCACCTCCAAATGAACCAGAAAATGAGTACAACATAGATCAGTTTGATCGAGTCCGACCTGAACCTTCTCAAAGAGGGTGGGATTCCAAGGAAGGGAAAGATACAATGAGCAGTAGCAAACAAAAAGAATTTAGAGATGATAAGGAGTCCAGAGATCGAAGTAGTTTTAGGTCAGAAATGGATACAAGAGAAAATAGAAGTGCTAGAGAAGAAAGACCTCCAAAGGATCTGAAAGAAGCCCATGAAGGTTCCCATGATGACACAGAGAGACTAGGAGGTTGGGAATCTCGAAGTAAACGGGACCCTCATGACCGTGGGACTCGTTGGGAAGCTGTTGATAGGCGTGATGATACTGATGAATCATCTAGCTGGAGCACACGGGGTAGGCGTGAAGGTTGGAATGGGCGGGAAGAAGAAAATTGGACAGGTAGGAACAGTGGAGATAAGCATGAAAATTGGAATGAAAAAGATAATTGGAAGCATGATCCTCATAACTGGGATGAAGAAGGTTATTATCACCGAGATCAAGATAGACATGGTGAAGAACATGAACGTTATAGTGATGCATACAGCTATCGAGGTTATCGAAGTAGAGTACCACGTGGCATGGAAAGAGGACGTATTAGCCGAGGTGGACGAGGCTTTAATCCACGCTTTAGTGGATATCAAGAGGAAAGTCATGAAGATGGTTATAGCTATCGTGGAGGATATAGAGGACGTGGGAGCTACCGTGCTAGAGGTGGTACCTATAACTATAGAGAAGGCAGCTCAGAATGGGGAGAAGAAAGTACATGTTGTGTAGAAATTCGCAATACACCTGTAAATGCATCTTACCGTTCTGTGCGTGACCTTTTCCATGGTATCTTTGTTCCAAAAACAGGCATTAAACTTTTAGTTGATGAACAAGGAAATCGAAAAGATGTTGCACTCTTGCAGTTTTCGCAACCTCGAGATGCAATAAGGGCTCTTAGATTTTCTGGTAATTACATATTTGATAATAAAGTTGAAGTTGTTCTTATTTCTGAGTCCAAATATGAGACTGCAATGGATGTTAATAAAATGAAAGGGAGCAAATCACATCCCAGTAATAGACCTCCAGGTTCATCTGAAGAAAAACAATCATGGACAAACAGCACATGTGTATGTGTATCAGGCCTCCCAGTGGGATGTACTGATCATGATGTTGGTCAAATGTTTAATAATTTTAAAATTGAAGACATTGTCTTGGAAAGAGAGAAGGGAACCCGTCACCCATCTGGCCGTTGTTTTGTGCGGCTAAACACACCAGAAGAAGCACAACAAGCTGTTGAAAGCTTGGCTGATGCTTCTATTGATGGAAACCCTATTACTGTTGAAATATGTCCAAATGATGCAATGATACCTGCTGTTAGAGACAGAGACTTGATTCAAATTCAAAGTGGCAGTCAGTCTGGGAAATCTCAGCCAGGCCAAACTGTGCCTCAAAAGAATAATTCTAAACAAGATGAAAAAAAGGTAGAAGAAAATAAAACAGAGAACCAAAATGGTGACGAATCCCAAACAAAGCACCTTCCAATGGGTGCTGACCTACTTACAGATTCTGTAGTAATGAAAGGAGTACCTAAGGAAGCAACAGAACCAAATATTCGAGACTTTTTCAGTGATGAGGGGCTAGTACCAGAACGTGTTCATTTTTGTGATGCAAACTCTAATGGATCACATGACGTGTATGTTATGTTTCCGTTGATTGATGATGCACGGCGTGCTGTGGGCAAAAGCCAACAGCAACTTTGCAAAGTTAAGGTGGGAGTAGAAATGATAGCAAAACCTTTAGTTATGAATGCAATGGGTCTCACATTTGATCCTCTTGAACTGATAAGAAAAGGACAAAAATCTGGTGCACCTACAGTTGCAGGAAAATCAGAAAAGAGTACAGAAAATGTAAGTGTTGATAAAAATCAACCAGCACAACCAAAAGAAATTATTGAATCTTCAAAAGAAGAAGAGCAGCAAGATACCCAAAATGAATCATTGTGTGATTCTGTATCGGTTCGAGACCAAATAAAAGAACATCCAAATAGTATAGAGCAGCGAAGCTCAAATTCTTTCTCTAGTCCAGGAGGAATGATTCCAGGGCCTTACAGAGGTGGACTCATTGGACATTTTCCAGGTGGACCACGAGGTTTTCGACCCCGCGGAGAAATGCGAGGGATGAGCAGAATGCCACCAGGTATATCAGGACCTCGAGGACCAAATGATGGATCCTTCAGCAGAATGCGAGGCTCATTGTCACTCTTGAGGGATCCTATAGATAAATCAATTGAAGAAACTATGGGTTCAGCCATTCCTCCAGAAAATTTTGGTAAACCAGGATGTGTAGTGGCACTAAGCAATGTTCCATATCGTGCTTCAACTGATGATATCCTTGAGTTTTTCATAGATTTTTCAGCATTGAGACCAGAAAATATTATCAGGCGATACAATGAATTTAACCAGCCTACTGCTGATGCTCGTGTTGCCTTTCCCACCCCTCAGGAGGCTCAGCGGGCCGTGCAGTCCCTCAACAAAAAGTACATGAGCAGCAGACAAGTATTCCTGGCTCTTGTGACTGAGTGAATCCTAAGTCATTCAGACTTAATGTATAATACTGTATCTCTGTTTCCTGTGTTAAAGTCATAAGATCTATGAAAATGCTGTTGCTACTCAATTTTTTATTAATAAATTGAAGTTTAGTTAAGTTTAATACCGTGCTGTATATTATTACAGTATGACGCACTGCAATATATTTTGTACCTTTTTTTTTAATATTGATTGGAATGCACACCAGTACCTGTGGAATTATACAAACAGCTTAGTCGTATGAGACAAGTTGGCAAGAGACACAAACATCATTATGTACATAGGTTAGTATAAGTTTAAATTCTTCTTGAGTAATTCAGGAATTATAATTTGAAAAATATTGATAAGTATTATTATAATATTTGTATATAAAGTAGAATAAAGTACTTTCTTAAAATGTGAATTTTGCATTCCTTTTCCATTTAAGAGAAAACTGAAAAACTGCTACTTGAGAAGAGGAAGCATCTAGAAAATTAGACAGTAAATTTACTTCTTAAGGGGCCGTCTTATGTGATTTTAAATGTTGTTTAATATCAACCCATTTTTTTTTACTAGTTGTATATAAAAAGGGCTGCAACTGTTCTACGTTTCAGTATCGCACCCTAAATAGAAAGGGAGGGAATTTTTGTTTTTTTCAATGAATTTTACACATTTTCAATAATTCTCTACAACCACAAGTTTCAAACTAAATCATCTCTATGACACTCATCTATCACATTAGCTTATAATAAAGGATTTGTATAAGGGAGATTATCCAAAATATGTTTAGTTCTTTAAATACAAGTAGTCAAATTTCCCCAAAAATATATGCCAATATTTCATGTTTGCAAATATATATAAAATCAGTAAATGAACCTAGGAAAAAATGTTTTATAGATATTGTGGAGACGTAAACTCTACATACAAGGTGTAAATTTCATGTAAATTGAAAAAAATGAAAGAGGAGAGTCAGTTTTGCTACTTTACAATAAATAAGGTCAAAGATTCTGTCACCTGTGGTTGAGGTTGACATCAACCAGTTTCCTCCAAGATTTTCACCCTTACAGATAGGATTAGGTTCTGTAAGGTGTATAAGTTTCATGCAAATTGGCAGATAAAAAAATATTTTTTTTTTTTTTTTTTTTTTTTTTCATAAAACTAATTATTAAAATACTTTTTTATATGCTATTGTGATAGCTTAGTCATAGCCATGATTTCAGTTGACACTTGTGTTTGATGTTAATTTTTGCCCATTTTGGAAAAATTTTGACATAATTCAATATTTTTTCTCCCTATTTATGCTACGATGCTGAGAATTTGACCAGTTGAACTCATTTTAATGTACAACTAGCCAAAAAAGTTTGATTGAAATCAAACCAGTTTTCATTTATTGCATATTTTCGTAAAACTTATCTCTGTTTAATACAAACAGTAAGTTTAGCCCTTATTACAAATTGGACAGTAAAGTTACCCAATACAGTACTACAAACTGGAATGAGCATTCCTGTTATTACAAATGGGAGTGATTTACTAATTAATTAATTTTAAAGGGGAATTTACCCTTTTTTATAAGCTGTAGAGCATAAACTTCTGAATAGAAATGTAAAAAAAAAATATGCTTTGAACATGTAAAAAGCCACTTTTTAAGCAAGACTAGGATCTGCTATAAAAGGTATAGTGATCCTCTATGCTTTTTCAAGATCACTGCTATGGCAGGTCTGATATTAAGACTAAAGTTAATAACGGTGACAATACTTACATAACCATCAAATGGAGCCCAAACTAGCAATCAAAACACAATCATCTTTGGCTACATACCGCATCAGGCAACAGCATCTCTACAAGGCACGCACTGCCCATGTCCCCTATCAAACATACAACCTGACTCATAGTAACCCACAAAAGAATAGATCTGGAGTATTAGAAATATATTGTATGAGTTAGGTGTTCTCATGCAGATATAATCAATGTTATTGAAATCACAGAAAAATAGATTAATGTCAAAACCAGATTTTTGTTTGATTAGTGTCAAAATCATGGTTGTGACATTAAACAAAGAAAAAATAATAATTTGCTTTGATATTAATATTAATGTTTCTATAATCATTAATTACAAGGAAAATCAAGGGATATAATTTGCTTCACATTAATATAAAATATAAATGGGGAAGGGAGGTAATAATAGTTGTCAGATAACATTTAATATGCAGTGTAAAATAGTGTATCAAATCACAAGCACACATAAATATTGTGGAAAACTAAATGAAGCTAATGTTTGCCTAATAATGTAAACCTTTCCTCAAAAATGATAGTATATATAGTTGTGCTATATAAAATATGGAATGCTGCAACTCCCCCCCCCCTCCAATTTATATTTTGAATTATTGGACTGGAACTGAACAGGTATAACTGCAACTGAACTGGTGTAACTATAAAACTAACCTGTCCTTGACCTAACATGCAATCTTTGGCCATATTTAGTGTATACAGTATATATATATATATATATATATATATATATAATAGGGGTACCACCTCTGGTGCAATTGTAGAGACCCACAGCCTCGAAGAAGAAAATAAAAAGAGTATTCAGAGAATACCTTGTGGATTCTCACTGAACAATTTAATCTTTTCTTCTCCTACCACCCTTATTATTTTTTGTATATATTTTGTTTTATTTTATTTTATTGCAATGTTACAGTTTACAGAGAACACACACATATATATATATATAACAATCAGTGTTCGAAGACTTCGTCCAGCTCCTTGGAGGTTGGGTGCGTACCCAGGATACAGCACGCATTTTCCCTCTGAACTGCGACACTGAGGCGCTGGAACAGGAAACTGGCCGCTCGTGAGTCTTTAGTTTTCCCAATGAGTTCCTCGCCCACCTCCTTTAAGAACTTAAGTGCACATTTACCCCAGGCGTTCAGAGTATCGGAGCCTATTGGCACGAACCTGTAACAACATTCTAGGTCTCTGTACTTGTTGGTTTTCTGGGTCTCCCTGGAGGTGGCTGCCCCGCATCCCTCAACTCTGCTGTAAGGTAGATAGGTATCAGCCAATGTAGATGCACACGTGTAATCCCATACGACCTGTTTACCTTCCCTCCATGGCTGCAGGGTGACTCCATCTGGGAATTTTTGGCTGTTGTCAGGTCTGCACAACTGAGGTTCCCTTTGTGCTGGACACCCAGCTGTAGCCAAACTTCTCTTGATGATGTCATTGACTGTTCATGTCCGGCAATCTTTCCCTGTCTTACGACAGATGAGACCATGGCTGCCGTATTGGTCCCCCCCCCCATACATAGCCGTAAATACACCTGTGTTTGGTGGAGATAGGGGTGGCAAGGCGCAGGATAACACCAATACTTAGGGCCCGATGGTCCAGGCAGGTGCCCAAGGCAGAATTAGGAACTGCCAACAGAAAGTTCCCGGCATGGGGGGCTTACACAGCTAGGAGACACACTCTGTCCTTCTCAGAAGCTGCCTCCAGCAATGCTTTTTCGATGTTCTCCACTATGGGCCTATCCCATTTTGCCTGTGTGCCGTCGTTTGGAAAAGTTGGTCGAGGGTGTGAATTGGCAAGAGTGTCCCACTGACCAGCTCCTTCCGCAAATTTGGGATCATGAATCCCAATGGAGTTCCTAAGGTATTCTGGTAGCATTTCATTCACTAATTCACTTGTAGCACTGGTCGAGGATAAGAATGCCGGCAATGCTAACTGTGACGCCTTGAGAATACCTATAACCCCGAGTCTAACTAGGAGTGATGCTTGGTCCCACTGATCATCTTGCAGGGAGAGGTTTAACACTTTCATAGTTATTGACTTTAGGAGTGAGTCATATTCCGTTAATTTTGGGCTGTCGAAGGAGGGAGCACACCTGAGGAAATAGATAAGTCTGGGCAAAGCAAAGCACCTTGTGAGAAAGTACAAAGCCAAAAACTACACACCCCAGTTGCTCACGTGGCCCCATAAAGTGAGGTGATTTGATGAAATAACTATGCCCAAGATTACCATCAAAGTGCCGTCGGGACGGTGGTTCAAATAGCCTCAGCTATCATCATCTTTTTGTACGGTCATTGATGGTCGAGTGGTTTAAGGTACCATGTACACCAGTTGTATTGTGCTTCTGGCGGTCTGGGTTCGACTCACTTCTGGGGTGTGTAATGAAGTAAGGGCGAAGAGGGAGAACGGCCTATTGACATAGCTCGAGTGCATGGGGGGGAGTTGTGTAAAACCCTGGTTTGTGCCTCGGAGAGGCTGCAGGATCCAGTAAGTTCAGTAGAACTTCGGTTTCAACTCCTTTTGACCATGTCGTAGCTCAGTCGATTAAGGCAGCGTCTGGGATGCTCTCGGACGCTGGTTCGAATCCTTGTCACGGCCCTTGTGGATTTGTTCATGGGGTGTGGAGTTTTCAGTTGCATATATTCCTGGGGACCATTCAGGCTATATATATATATATATATATATATATATATATATATATATATATATATATATATATATATATATATATATATATATATATATATATATCAATATATATATATATATATAACTATATATATTTTATATATATATATATATACCAGTTGCGTTGCTTCTGGGAGTATCATTCAGGCTTGTTCGCATATATATATATATATATATATATATATATATATATATATATATTTTACAAGAGCTGTTTCGTATTGAGCAATAAACCTTCCCCCATATGAACCAACCGTGAGCTGCCTTGTATTGACCAATAGGAGCTGGCTTGTATTAATCAGTTGGAGCTGCCTTGTATTGACCTTTCTTTAATTTTCTTTGTAGTTTTTTTTAAGTTTAGTTCATTTATTATGCACCCCATACCCATCTTGTGGGCGGTAGTGAAAAGTGTTACAGAGGCACATAATGGGCTCAGGGACTGAACCCCACAATTCATTTAAGTGAGAGTTACAATCTTGATGAGCTAGTTACAAAATTCAATACACATCATCATTGGGGGGTCGAGATCGACCTCAAGTACAGTTTTTAAATCAAGCAACTGACATATGAAGAAAGCTAGTGTCACAATTGATATGTTTGTCCTGCACACCGCCTCCCATCCAGTGGGCAGCGGTGGATAGGTTACAATAACTCAGTTACTACCTACAGTTAGCAAACTGGGGATATTTGGCTAAGATTTCTGGTAGCAGATAATTTTGAATCAAGTATTTACACATCTCTGGAACATTTGTTCTAGAATTGTCTCTGAATTCATGTATCGTTTCGCACTCCATCATATAGTGACGGAGGATGTGCGAATAATTTTGTTGATACAGATTACATTAGGTCAGGTCTACATCAGCAGATAATGAGAAATCCCAGAGATACTTGTAGCCGAGTCTAAGCCGAGCAGTAGTAACATCTAGAAGTCTGCTGATTTTATTGAAT